CTTTTTACTTTTTTTGCCCCCCTTTTTCTTGAGATGGGCATTTCACTCTGTTCTCTATGTTGCCCTGGCCGGTCCAGGACTCATAGAGTCATGCTGTCCTCCTGCCTCAACTTCCTGAGTAGCAGGGACTACAGGAGCGTACCAGCATTCCTGACAAAAGGGACCTCTTGAGAATAAATAAAAGTTAACTTTATTGAATATATTAGAAAACATCAAAAATAATTAGTAGATTGGGCTATAATGCCAGCAACTCAGGAAGCTGAAGCAGGAAGATTGAAAGTTAAGTTCAGCTTCAACAACATAATAAGACTGTGTCTCAAAATAAAAATAAAAAGAACTGGGGATGTATCTCAGTGGTAGCATCCCTGGGTTCAATCCCTAGTACTAAAAACAAAAAGAAAAAAAATTAAAAATAAGAATAAGATGGATTGATATTAACTTGATAATATCCACCAATGAACTGAAAAATACAATTAGTACACACACTTTGAGTGAAGGTTAATGAGGGCTGGGGATATAATTTAGTGGTAAAGAACTTGCCTTAAATGAGGATTAATGAGATTGTTCCTGGCATGTAACATTGGTACAACAACCCTAATTTTATCTTTTTTCAAAATTTGGTTGGAAAAATAGTATTTTACTGTGCTAGTGGTTTTCATTCATCACTTTTTCTCTTTCAAATGATCACATTTTGGGTACACATTTGAAAAGTAAGGACTCAGATATCTGTCTGAACCTTCTGTGCCCTTATAGTAACTTTAAAATGAATTTAAATTAAGCTGGTACAATGGCAAATGCCTGTAATCCCACCTACTCAGGAGACTGAGGCAGGAGAACCACAAGTTCAAAGCCAATTCAGCAAGACCTTGTCTCAAAAAATAAAAAGAACTAAGGATATAGCTCAATTGTAGAACAACCTGGGTTCAATCCCAAATAAAAGGAATGGAGGGAGAGGATGGGAATAAATCTTGAAAGGTGTCTGAGGACAAAATAGTTGAGATGTGTTAAAATTGATTTATCAAAAGTACTAGAATGTTAATTTCCTTTATTTAGTTTTTTAAAATTATTTAATTTATAATTTTTTAAAGATCTTAATATTTTATTCTAAATGGACTGGAAATTTTTAAAAACTTAACATTGCTAATTTTTAAAGCCTTCTCAAACTCATTTGAACTAGTTCGGGTTTTTTTGTTTTGTTTTCCTTAAGGAAAAATCAGTTAAATGTCTTATCTCTAATTAAAAACCTTTCCAAAATTTCATTCAAAGGAAACTTATATTTTAGCAGTGTCTTTTTTTAATATTATTGTCTCTGTGTTATCAATATTAGTATTAACCAAATAGTACAATTAGTGACACAGTTTAAGCATATACAGACAGCATGGAATCTGAGCCAGCAGGGTCTCAATACAGGCTCTAGACCCACTGCTTAGTGGTTGAGTGGCTTTAAGGAAAAAACAACCCTTTTCTTCTCTTCCTTCTTTCCCTTCTCCTCTTCCCCCCCCCCCCCCACACACACACACTCACTGTTTTGAGACAGGGTCTTACTAAATTGCCCACACTGGCCTCTTACTTGTGATCCTCCTACCTTAGCTTCCCAAGTAGCTGGGATTACAGACATGTACCATCTTGCCCAACTGATACATAACCTTTTCTGAGCCTAGATTTCTATACTGATAAGTTGAAAATAATAATTTCTGTGTATTAGGATTGTTTTGAGAACTAAATGAAATTATGTTTCCACCCAAATTCTCAACATTCAAAGTAATCATTGGTAAAATTATATAGATATGGATATACAACTTCATATAAATAGATTTATACTAACCAAACTTGAATTCAATCTCTAGCACTCATTAAATTCCAAATAAGTTTATATTTCAGGAATATTATTAAATTTTTATTGGGACCCTTTTGCTCTTTGGTTAGGCTAAACTCCCAGATAATGCTAGAAAGATATCTGGAGCTCAGAGCAATAGCATTATTTTATTTTATTTTTTATTTTTTAGTACTAGGAATTGAACTCAGGGGCACTTAACCACTGAGCCATATCCCCAGACCTTTTTAAAATTTTATTTAGAGACAGTGTCTCACTGAGTTGCTTAGGGCCTTGCTAAATTGCTGAGGCTGGCTTTGAACTCGCTATCCTACTGTCTCAGCCTCCCAAGCTGCTGGGATTATAGGCTGCACCACTGGACCCTGCTACAGTAGCATTATGAATATAATTTTTTATTACATAATTTTTGAGACCGTTATCCAGAGATCATTATTCTCTCTGGCCAAGAAATGATCCTACTTATTCTAAAATTTATTGCTGGGTTGCTGACAACCTGAGATTCCATCTCCAGACATGTTGATTTATAAGTAAGGAAACTAAGGCCTGGAGAAGCGGGGTTAAGTTAGCCAGGGTGACACATAAATGTATTTTAGATTTCAATGACTGCTTCTTAAAATATCTAATAAGTTCCATAAAGTAAGAGTTTACAGAAGTCACTAAATTTGGAGATTCAGGTTTATTCCTTCTTTATTCATGTTTGAATGGATTTTAGAGTGCAAATTTAAACATACAGCAGATTATATTAGATGACCTTTAATTGGATGAGTGGAGAAAAGATGTCAATTCTAAAGTGAGCTCTGGGGCTGGGGATGTGGCTCAAGCGGTAGCGTGCTCGCCTGGCATGCGTGCGGCCCGGGTTCGATCCTCAGCACCACATACAAACGAAGATGTTGTGTCCACCTAGAACTAAGAAAAAATAAATAAGTATTAAAATTCTAAAAAAAATAAAATAAAAAAATAAAGTGAGCTCTGAGAACCTGTGCTAAAATTCATGGCACTCAGTAAATTAGTTCTCTTTCTCCCCTCTTTATTCTGTTCTTACCCACATAGAATAATTTTGACTCTCATCAGTCAAAAACTCATTCTAATAAAGTAAGTTTGTTCTTTTGTCTCTGAAGGCACAGTCCTAATAATCTAGTACCCTGGCCCTCACTTTGGAATCAGGGCATTCAGTTATATTTGCGTAACTAGCATTTACTAAGGACATTCCTGTGTTTGTGTTAGGCCCCAAACTAGGTGAAACACTGCTCAGGCCCTCAGATTGCCTAAGAGCAAACTGAAGCCAGTGCAGTACTGGCATGGCTTGATGTTGGCCTGATAGTGAAGACTCAGTGACTTCTAACAAACTAATCAATTAATATAATGGGTATAGTCAAAGTAAAAGAGCCCCTTAGTCATCTGGAGAAGTCAGGGAAGATTTCCTGAAAAGGTAGCACTTGAAATGAGACTAGGATTTTGTTTATGAACAACACAATAAATAAATAAATAGGAAAACTATTCCAGCCAAAGGAAATAGAACTCAAAAGCACAGGCTTGTATTTAGATTGACATTTATTTTGCAGGAAAAGAACAATGTGCTTCTGAAACATTTTTACTAATATCTCATGATTTCTAAAATTATTCTATTTCTGAAGATCTCAAGAATCAAATTTAGTTGACCCTCCTGTACCTTAATAGAATTCGTAAACTGACACCTAACCTTTTATAGCATCCCTCTTCAAGTTCTAATTTGTTTGTGTGTATATGTGTATGTTATTCTGAGATTATATGTATGCTTCTTTACAAATAAGCAAATTGAGTAAGTGAGCTTTTCCAGAGCTAAGCTATAGTGCTGTTATTTAATTATTTAATTCTCATATTCTGCTTCAAAAAGATACCAGTGTTCTTTAAATTAGGTGCTTCATGTCTCTTATATGTTACCATACTTTTATATATTTCAAATACATTTTTAAAAGAATAAAGGGAAAATATTTTTAAAATGAACTAAAAATTAAATTAGTCATCATTAAAAAGAAGCAGTCACCTGCAGCTCCTTCACTATAATCAACCACTGTAAATATGACCACTCTAAAAGATAGTGATCTAGGGGCTGAAGTTATAGCTCAGTGGTAGAGTGCTTGCTTCTCACTTGTGAGGCACTGGGCTTGATCCTCAGCACCACATAAAAATAAATAAAGATATTATGTCCATCTTTAAAAACAAAAGATAGTGATCTACACTATAGCCTAAGTGATACGATTTGGGGGATGGTTGGGGGAGTTCCGGGGATTGAACTCGGGAGCACTTGACCACTGAGCCACATCCCCAGCCCTATGTCGTATTTTATTTAGAGACGGCATCTCTCTGAGTTGGTTCGTACCTCACTGTTGCTGAGGTTGGCTTTGAACTTGGAATCCTCCTTTCAAAGCCTTCTGATTCACTGGGATTACCATGTGCCTGGATGGTAGGATTTTTGATAGTGACGATGGCTGAGAATATTGCTCTGTGTGTTGTTTAGCACCTGGACTGTGTTTGCTTTGTATAATATTTTATTTATTAAGATATATGTTATAAAGAGCTTTCACATGTCTTCTGTGACCTGACTTCAGAATTCATGAAAAGATTAAATTGCAAGTGAGTCTCTAAAGTTCTTTCCATTTCATTATACCTCTTTTTATTCTAAAAATCCTCTTTGGACAATTCGTATTTAGGAAATTATTTTTTAGCTGGACACAGTGAAACATGCCTATAATCCCAGTGGCTCGGGAGGCTTGAGGCAGGAGGACTGTGAATTGAAAGCCAGCCTCAGTAATTTAGCAAGGCCCTAAGCAACTAAGTGAGACCCTTTCTCAAAATAAAAAGGACTGGGGATGTGGCTCAATGGTTAAACACCCCTGTGTTCAATACTCAGTATCAAAAAAAAAAAAAAAAAGAAAAGAAATTTTTTTTTCCTTGCCAGGAACAGTAACACACACTTTTAATCCCAGCTACCCAGGAGGCTGAGGCTGACCTCAAACTTGGGATCCTCCTGCCTCAGCTTCCACAGTTCTGGGATTATAGGTGTGTGCCACTATACTCAGTATGTCTTGTTTTTTAAGTACTAAGTGAAGGCCCTTTGGTCTTACTGAGTTTAATAGTTGCAATCAGGATAACAATATTTTTCTCTCTGTTCTCTCTTGTGTTGTAGAGTCGACAATTAGAATCAGAAACTGGGACCACAGAGGAGCACAGTCTAAATAAAGAGGCTAGGAAATGGGCCACACGTGTGGCACGTGAGCACAAAAACATTGTTCATCAACAACAGGTAAGTGTAGTAGAATCCTGGCCACATTCAGCTTAAGCCAAGTGTCAGACCCATTTAAGGAGCTAAATTTTATTAATGTGAAAAGCACCCATATATGTGTTTTCTGTTCTTTCTCAAACTCAACAATATAGTCAGATCTATCTATTTATCTTAAAAATTCTGTAAATTTTTAAGATAAATAAATTCTTGTAGCAGCAACACATTAATTCACCTGTTTGCCATAAAATTGCCTAAGAAAGACTAGTGATGGTGTATTACAGTTTGTTGGGCAGGGGAAGAGGCATACATATGATAAATTAAAGTAGACTTTCATCTCTCAAGACAAGTTTTTTTGAAGACACAATTGTAAATTCCATGAAAATATATTTTCAAGACTAAACTCCAAGTGCAAAGAAATTATTTTAAATATAGTAGTTTGTTTTTAGTTTGATTTTTAGTATCTATATCCTCTTTCTTTGCCTTCACGTCCAACTTCTTAAAAGAATTGTCCACACTTACACATCCTGACCTCCCTCCTACTTTTCAGCTCATTGTGTTTAAGCTTTGCCTTGCTTTCCTTCTGATCGTTCCTTTCCTTCTAAATTTATCATAAACCAGGGATGTCTGTTGCAAGATCCAAAGTGGACACTTGATCTCTCGTTTTTCTTAACCAGTCAAGTTTCATCATAACTAACTACACCCTTCTTCTTAAAACACTCTTCAGCCCTCTGTAACTCAGCATTGTTCCAATTTTCCCTCTTCCTCTTCAGCCTGTCTAGATTCTTTCATGGGTTGGTCTTTCTCTATCCAATGGTTAAATATTTAAATTCCTTAGATTCCTGAACTAGGCTGTCTTTTTTTTTTTTTAACTCTTTACTCTCCTATGGTCCATCTCATACACTGCTATTTTTTCCACTTTCAACCTAATCATAAACTAATATTTTCAACATTGGGCCTTGCTTGCTGCTGTATCCCACGTATTTTTTTTGCCTACTTTGACATCTTATTTCACTTGTCTCACAGGAGACAGTGTTTTGGTTTTTTTTGGGTTTGTTGTTGTTGTTGTTTGCTTTTTGTGGGTTTTTCTTGTTGTTGTTGTTTTGGTTTTGGTTTTTTGATTATTAAACTGGGAATTGGACCCAAGAGTGCTTTACCACTGAATTGCATTCCCAAACCTTATTTTATTTTATTTATTTATTTGGGACCTGGGATTGAACCCAGGAGCATTTAATCACCGAGCCACATCCCCACCCCTCTTTTTTATATTTTATTTAGAGACAGGGTCTTGCTCAGTTGCTGAGGCCATTGTTGAACTCACCATCCTCCTTATCTTAGCCTCCTGAGCCACTGGGATTACAGGTTTGTGCCACCACACCCAGCTTTGTGTCTTATTTTGAAATAGGTTCTCACTGTGTTGCTGACAGTCTTGTTAAGTTGTTTTTGTTTTTGTTTTTTTGCTGAGACTGGCCTTAAACTTGGATCTTCCTGCCTTAGCCCCGAGTCACAGGATTACAGTCATCTGCCACCATACCCAGCTTAAAAAAAAAATTTTAAAAAGCATTTTTTTTTTTAATAATGTCTCAGTATTCTGGGTATTGGTAGTCTCAACTTGGCAGTTATCACTTTATAATAATCAGATAATGGCCAGTGCTGGTGTCATCTCATGTAAAATAACTAGTTCTTTTTTTTTTTTAAGAGAAAGAGAGAGAGAATTTTTAATATTTATTTTCTTTTTTTCGGTGGACACAACATCTTTATTTGTACGTGGTGCTGAGGATCGAACTCGGCATCGCGCGCATGCCAGGCGAGCATGCTACTGCTTGAGCCCCAGCCCCAGCCCCCAAAATAACTGGTTCTTAGGCTGGGAAGATCTAAACAGTTGGGAACTAGAATGCTAGGGCTTCTTACACACTTCTGCCTCTGTGTGGTCTCTCCCCATGATCTCTCCAACATGGTGGCTTCAGGTTGGCTATACTGCTTACATGGTAGCACAAAGCCCCAAAGATACAAGTTCCAAGAGTGAAAAAATAAAACCTGTATATTCTTCTGACCTAGCCTCAGAAACATCATTGGGATTGTTGAATCATATTTTATTGAGACAATCACAAAGGCCTGTCCATAGTTCAATGAAATAGGACATACACTCTATTTCTTGGTGGAGAAGTAACACAGATGGAAAAACATGCAGAATGAGAAATGTAGTAACAACTTTTTGAAAAACATAGTCTGCCACAGTATACCTTATGGTTAAAAGTTACGGTTAAAACTTCACATACCTCTGACATGCAAAATACACTCACTTCTTATCCCCCAAAGCCTGTTTTGTTTTTGTTTTTGTTTTTTTGCTAAAATCGGTTCACAATTAATAAAAATTATAAAGCTCAGTAAACTTGAGGAAGGTAAAACACAAAGAAAATCACACCACAGTGCTTCATAGTCAGCTTTAAAATACAAAGAATGTTTAACAGTTGTCAGGTGTGGTTATATACACCTATAATCCCAACTACTCAGGAGGCTGGGGAGGAGGCAATCACAAGTTCAAGACCTGCCTGGACATCTTATTGAGACCATTTAACAACAACAAAAAAAAAGGTTGGGGATGTAGCTCTGTAGTAGTAGTCCCCAGGTTCCATCCTAGTATGAGATATTGGGATGGGGGGTGGTGGTGGTAATTGATTGTCTATGATGAAAAATCAAAAATGTTTCCTTCAAGATCAAGAACAAGATAAGAATGTTCACTTTCACCATGTTTACTCAACATAGGAGTTCTAGAGCAGTTATAGCAAAGTTGCCAGAGCAGTTATAGCAAAGTTGCAGGATGCAAAATAAAAACAAAAAAAAAATCAGTTGCATTTCTAAATACTAACAATGAGCACTGCAAAAAGGAAATTAATGCATCTCCAGTACCACAGTAACAACAAAAAAAGGAAATTAAGAAAGCAATATCATTTCTAGTAACACCAAAAGAAAATATCAAGAAGGAAAAGACTTGTACACTGGGAACTACAAAAACATTGATGTTAGATTAAAGAGGGCATAAGTAAATGGGAAGACAGTTCATGTTCATTAAGTGAAGGTATTGATAAGATGACAGTAACTCCCAGAATGATATCCAGATTCCATGTAATTCCTATCAAAATCCCATTGGGAACATATCCAGTGTTCATGGAACTGAAGGCAGATATTGTTTGGGGTTTGTTTTATGGGGGCTTCTTTTGATGTGTTTGTTTTGTTTTGTTTGTTACTGGAGATTGACCCCAAAGGCACTTTGCCTCCGAGACTCATCCACAGCCCTTTTTCTTTGTTTCGAGACAGGGTCTCATTAAGTTGCTGAGGCTGGCTTTGAACTTGTAATACTCCTGCCTCAACCTCCCAGATAGCTGCAGATATTGTTAAATGGCACTTAATACCAAAATGTTCATCAAATTCAATGTAGTTCCCTTCAAAATCTGAACAGTGTTATTTACATGAAAAGGCAAAGCCATTCTAAAATTCATATGAGATCTCAAGAGACCCCCAAATAGCCAAAATAGTCATGAAAAATAATAAGGTTAGAGAATTCCTACTTTGTGATTTCAAAGCTTATAAAACTACAGAGATTGAGGTAGTGCAGTTCTGGCATAAAGACATATATATAGACTTTAACTACATATGAAATCTATTTTTATTTATTTTGGAGGGATGGGTACTAGGGATTGAACTCAGGGGCACTCTGCCACTGAGCCACATCCTCAGCCCTGTTTTGTATTTTATTTAGAGGCAGGATCTCAACTGAGTTGCTTAGCACCTCACTTTTGCAGAGGCTGACTTTGAACTTGAGATCCTTCTGCCTCAGCCTCCCAAGCTGCTAGGATTATAGGCTTGCGCCACTATGCCCAGTATATGAAGACTATTTTTTAAATACCAGTTTTCTCCATATATTCAATGTAATACAGGTTAAATACCCAGCTTTTTTTTTAACTAACAAGCTAATTCTCAAAGATATGTGAAAATGCAAGTCATCTAAGATAGCCAAAACAATTTTGAAAAAGAAGGATTAGATTGGAGGGCTTTCTCCTCCTGGTTTCAAGACGTAAAACTATACTAATCAAGATGTTTTAGCATTGGTATGAGGATATACTTACAGATGAATGGAACAAAATGAAGAGTCTAGAAGTAGGCCCATGCATATATGGTCTGTTGATTTTAGACAAAGGTAAAACAAACTTGTAAAAATGATAAATATATATATAATAACATGCCTTGCACATGTGAGATACTGGGTTTGATCCTTAGCACCACATAAAAATAAATAAAATAAAGGTACTGTGTCCATCTACAACTAAAAAGAAGAAGATAAGAATGAGTTCCCTGTCTCCTTCCCTGCTATTAGCTGGAGGCTGTCTTTAGCCCCTAGAAGCTACTCTTTCTGGTCCTTGCACTTGTGCTTCCACATCTCAGAATCAGCAATGGCACACTGAATCCTTCTGCTTAGAATCTGTAATTTCCTTTCTACCCATCTCTTATCTTACTCTAGCTAGAGAAAATTCTTTGCTTGAAAGATATCACATGATTATATTGGACTCACTTAGGTAATCAAGGATGATCTCATTATTTTAAGGTTCTTAACTTAATACTTCTGCAAATTACATCATAAATACCCACAGTTTCAGACACCAGGGTATTTACATCTTCAAAGCCATGCTGCTTATTACAATGGTAAAACAAGAAAACAACATCTATCATCACCACTACTTTTCAGTGTCATATAGGATTAGTCAATGTATTAATTAAAGAAAACCAGTTAAGAGATTTAAATACTAGGAAAAGGCACATCCATCATTATTTATTAATAATATGTGTACCCAAAATACCAAGACCCAATTGTCAATGATGGTTTAGTAAAGTGAACAAATACAAGAATATATTTTTAGAAATCATTAATTTTCTGAGGTTAGGAATCTGGCTCAGTGGTAGATCATTTGCCTAGCATGAGTGAGGCCTGGATTCAGTCTTCAAAACTGAAGGGAAAAAGGAAAACTTCAGTTTTCTCATTAATCAGAAATAATAAATTGCAAATACAGTGGAAAAAAAAGTTATTCATCACAGCAGTAAAATACTGATAAGGTAAAGGAGTACAAAATTTAATGAAACTTAGAAAATATATTTGGAGAAGCTTGACATTCTGGCTCTAAAATTTACCTGGAATTCTTTTTATAAACACACAAGAATGAGACTTACCACATACTAAATCATAAAATAATGACCACAGAAATTAACTGTGGTCTAATACAAAAAAATAGCAAATCTATTAAAGAACATATGATAATTTAGAATAATGGTCTTATCAACATACCATTTTTGGCATACACAATTGCTAAATCCATTTACTAAAGGATTTACTAACTCTTTTCCCTAAAGATTTGAAATGTCAATCCAGATGCCATTTTTCAGGTAGGAGGGAAATATAATGATGAACAGTGTATTAAAAGCTTCCAAGAAATTACTATTAGGTCTGATAATGGTATTATGGTTGTATAAAACAATTCACATTTAGAGACATTTATTATAACATGTAGGAATAAAATGACTAAATATCGATTTTTTTTCTTCAAATACTGTAGCAAAGAACAAAAAGGATAGTTAAAGCAAATTTTAACATTTTTTTGAATCTCAGTGATTAATATATGGGATTTATCGTAATAGATGCTCTAAAACTTTCGAGTATATTTGAATTTTTTTATAATAGAAAACATGTTAGCCTGGGGGTATGGCTGAGTGATAGAACATGATGTACTTAGCATGCATGAAGCCCTGGGTTCAATTCCAAACAATACCAAAAAAAAAAAGTTAATGGCATTTTAAATCTTTGGGGAAAAGAGTTAGTAAATCCTTTAGTAAATCGATTTAGCAATTGTATATGTTTAGGGAAAAATACACCATTAGATTTCTTTCTTCCACTATATACAAAATAAATTTTAGACTAAAGAGATAAGTGCTAAACATGACTATTAAAAAACTAGAAGAACCTAGAGTATTTATATAAAATTTTTTTTAGTTATCAGTGGGCCTTTATTTTATTCATTTATATGTGATGCTGAGAATTGAACTCAGTCCCTCACACATGCTAGGCAAACCCTGTACCACTGAGCTACAACCTCAGCCCCATATTTTTGGTATATTACAGATACCTTTTTTTTGGGTGGGGGGGGTACCAGGGGTTGAACTCAGGGGTACTCAACTACTGAGCCACATCCCTATCCCCACACCTTTTTTTAAATTTTATTTAGAGACAGGGTCTCACTGAGTTGCTTAGCTCCTTGCCATTGCTGAGGCTGGCTTTGAACTTGCGATCTGCCAGACTCAGCCTCCAGAGCTGCTGGGACTACAGGCATTCGTCACTGCGCCCAGCCATATACCTTTTTAAACAAAACAAAACTCAGGAGCTATAAAGGAAAAGACTGATAAAATGTGACCACATAAAAATTTAAAATTTCTGCAAAACAAAAGAACATTAAAAAAAGGAAAGGGGATAGAGTAGAAGGAAATATTTATAACAAATAATAGAAAGAAAAGCAGTAAATATCTAGAAAGAAATATATTTTAATAATAATAAAAAGATTAAAAAGTGAATTGAAATAGAAGTACAAATTGCTAGCAACATATAAAATGATTCTCCATTAATTAGAGACCTGAAAATATGGTGAATTACATTTATGGATTTCTGGATGTTGAGCCAGTGTTCCTGGGATGAAACCCACTTGATCATGGTGCACTATCTTTTTAATAAGTTTCTATGTGATTTGCCAGTATTTTACTAAGAATTTTTGCATCTATGTTGATCAGGGATATTGGCCTGAAGTTTTCTTTCCTTGGTGTATCTTTGACTGGTCATAGGTTGATTTTAGAAGGGTTCCCTCCTTTTCTATTTCATAGAATAGTTTGAAGTGAATTCGTGTTCTTTTTTGAAGGAAGGTCTGGTAGAACTCAGCTGAGAATCCTTCAAGTCCTGGGCTTTTCTTTGTTGGTAGGCTTTTCATGGCATCTTCAGTTTCATCACTTGAAATTTACCTGTTTAAACTTTGTATGTCTTGAGATTCAATTTGGGTAGGTCATATTTCTCTAGAAATTTGTTGATGTCTTCAAGATTTTCTGTTTAATTTGGTGTATAAGTTTTTAAAATAGTTTCTGATCATCTTCTGTATTTCAGTGGTGTCTGTGGTGATATATCCTTTTTCATCATGAATTTAAGAAATTTGAGTTTTTCCCTTTTTCTCTTGGTTAGCATGGCTAAAGTTTTCTCAATTTTATTGATTTTTTTTGGGGGGGAGAACCAACTCAACAGTGAGATCATTTTTTAAAAAATACATTGGCGGGCTGGGGATGTGGCTCAAGCGGTAGCGCGCTCGCCTGGCATGCGTGCGACCCGGGTTCGATCCTCAGCACCACATACCAACAAAGATGTTGTGTCCGCCGAGAACTAAGAAATAAATATTAAAAAGTTCTCTCTCTCTCTCTCTCTCTCTCTCTCTCTCTCTCTCTCTCTCTCTCCCTCCTCTCTCACTCTCTCTTTAAAAAAAATAAAATAAAAAAAATAAAAAATACATTGGCATAATTTTAAAGATTGGCAAAATTCAGTGTGGGTAAGATACAAGAAAGAGTAGGTACAACTTTGTGTAGATAATCTGGTAATGTCTATTAAAATTAAAATGTGCAATTTCTGCTTTTATATTTTTTATCTTAAATATTCCTATATGTGTTCAAGAAGTCATTGACTTGTACAAAAAGTCATTGTACAAAGGGTTCTTTGTACAGAGCCACGTATAATGTTGAGAAATTTGAAAATTCAAAAGGCAAATAGAGTAAGAATAAATGAAACATGGTACAGTTAAATTCTTTGATCTATAGATTAATCAAAGAGAATGAGGTCAGTCTATTTATACAGACATGAAAAGCTTTCTTAGAAACATTGAGAAGATAGTATATCTAATTTTATTTTTTTAAACAAAATTTTGTTTGTTATATATATATAGAAATGCTCAAAAGTGGTTTGGAAAAAATAAAAATTAATTGATGGTATGACAGTTTTACCCCATAATAGATTATACAGTGTACTAAAAAACTTATGCCATTTTGCATTAATTTTGCATTAATTGTTTTGTAACAGTATTTTAAAAACTAAAGGTATGCATGTCAAAACTTGTACAATCCAAGTAAGATCTATAGATTGAGCCAATGTCAATTTTTATATTCTATTGCAGTAGCCCTACTTATCTGTAGTTCACTATCCATGGTTTCAGTTACCTGAAGTCAACCACAGCCCAGAAATGCTAAATGTAAAAGTTCAGAAATAAACATTTTAGATATTTTAAATTGCCCACCATTCTGAATAACATATGGAAGTCTCATTCTTTCCTACCCAAGATCCAAAACACTTTAACCATAATTTTTACACTACGTACCCTATCCGCCTGTTACTTACTGAGTAGCCAGTTAGATTATCAAATCCACTGTTATAATATCAGAGTGTTTTGTTTAACCTTTTATTTTACTTAATAACGACAGAATACAAGACTAGCGATGCAAAGAAGGCACCATGACATAAAACAGATTAATTCTATACAACAGTTACTAGTATGGCATTATGTAAAAATGTGGATGTGTAACCGATGTGATTCTGCAATCTGTATTTGGGGTAAAAATGGGAGTTCATAACTCACTTGAAACTGATGTTTGAAATATGATATGTCAAGAGCTTTGTAAGGTTTTGAACAACCAATAAAAAAATAAATAAAATAAAAATAGAGTAGAAAAGAAAAAAAAAACAGATTAATTCTTCCACCAAGAAGCATTGTTGCAGGGCTTATAGAAAAATACATAGTAATTTTAGAATTCAGTATTACCAGCATTTTTAGCATCCATTGAGGGTCTTGGAAAGAATCTCCTGAGGATAAAGGGAAACTACTAATGTAAAGTTATATAAATTTTACCACTGGGGGAAGTTGGGTGAAGGGAGTGTGTACTAGTTTTGCAACTTACAGAGTCTATAATCCAGATTTTTTAAATTAAATAAATAAATGAAACAAAATTACAAGTTAAAGAAAGGATAATAATTTGTTAAAGGAATCATGGTTTTAGTTACTAAAATCTTTCAAATAATCACTCAAGGAACAAAGATGAGAAGGAGGATTATTTTCTGTACCTGTTTTCTCTTTAGGTTCTAAATGAACTTGAATGCCATGGAGTTGCTGTATCAGAACAAAGCCGAGCAGAACTGGAACAGAAAATAGATGAAGCTAGAGAAAATATTCGTAAAGCAGAGGTAAGGGGGCAGCTAACTATGGCATTTTGCCCAACTCCAGTCAGTGTCACAGCTGTGATGTACACCTTTGAAGCTGAGTTCCTACACTTATTAAGTTGAAGGGGAATCACCATCTTAATTTATGTCCACAGTAGTATTATTGAGTGCCTGCTTTGTAGAAAGTATACATATAGCAGACTTTGAACCTGCTGTGAAGAGTTCATAATCATGAAAATTACATAACAAAAGAATTAAGTCACAATAAAGATATTAAAGTTTCACAAAGTAAAATGATAATCAAGTTAATGGTAGAGCTATTTATGTTTATATATAAAATGATAATTTATATATTATAGAATATATAATAACATTTATATATAATTTATATATATTATATAATTATACATAGGAATATATTTATATAAAATTATATATGTATATATTTAGAACCTAAAAAAAATCTCCCTTATATGGGTGGTTTCTGAATCCAGGGGAATGAACTTGGTCTTCAGTAATAGAGATTTGGTTGAGAAGTGATAGGGCATTATAAAAGTAATTTTTTTTTTTTGAGTCATGAGATCTTTTGAAAGTTGCATAAAAACTATGGAACCTCTCCCACAAAAAAGAAATGTATATGTTGTGTACAGCATCAGAGTTCATCAACCCCAGGCTAATACTCCTTGCCCTAGAGGAGGAGAGGTCAAAATGAGAGAACAAGAAAGTATTAGCAAAAGGGGGTAGGCACAGGGTAGAGTTTGGCAGTTGAAAGTGATTAGAATAACAGATTTTTGTAAGGAAATGTGATAGAAAGGAAGTAAACTATTGTGGTTAGGGCCAGTTCACAGAGGACACACATGTGTATTCATCTACTCTGCTACAGAATGATGAAGGGATATGGAGGTAGACATTTAAAAAAAAAAAAAAAAGACCAAGACTTTACAACCCTCAAGAGATTATGTTCTTATTAGGAAAGCCTAAAGAATGCCAAAGATAACCAAGACTGTGAAGCACAAGTGCCAAAGAGTGGCCATACAAGTATGCTTCAGGAAGTGGAGGACACGGGGAGCACTGGGGGAGGGTTTGTCAGAGCAGAGGTAGGACTTAGGATGATGTTGGCCAGTGAATAGTATTTAATTTAATTAGTCAGGGAAAAGGGAATAACATAGATCTGTGGCTTGCAACCTCAAGAAACAGAACTTGAACCAAAATATGAAGGTAGGAAGGAGGCAGGTTTCATTTTGATGTTGGGAAATATTTTCTAAGAGTCAGATCTTCTGAGTGGCAGAATAAGTACATAATGCAACACTGTAAGGGCTCAGGATTCTGGGCAAGCATCTGTCAGGGACTCTGTACAAGGAATTCTGGCATTGGTTGAAGGTAATCTAAAACTAGTGATTTTCAAACACCCCTTTATTGCTCTAGAGGTTTTGAAAAAGTGCTTCAGTGGTTGTAGGGTAAGGGTGAGGCAACAGAGGCAAACACAGGGTATATGAGCATGGTTTTGACAGAGCCCCATGGAAGTGATTTGAACCAGAATGGGTTTGCCATCTTCGTGGTCTAAAGAGGTGCGGTAACCTCTCCTCTGCTTCATTCCTGGCATAGTCTGACCCACAGCCTCCATAGTGAGCAGCCATTTTCCTCTCTGAATTCAAAGTCATGGCTAAACCACTACCCTCTGGTGCTGGCCAAGTACTGCTGGCGAGCCCTAGCCTGGTTTGGGAAACACTGGCTTGTGGTAGAAGAGATTATTATTCTATTGTTTTGTTTTCTTCACTCTGGATGAAGCCAGTATTACCGCCTTAGTGGAACAGAAGTGATTACCTTAGGACAAGTCTCAGAAGTTTTCTGAGGGGGTTGTACTTATATTTTCCATTTTCAGACTCCATCCATGGTATCACTGTCTAGTACCTTTTTTTTTTTTTTGAGAGAGAGAGAGCAGAGAGAATTTTAATATTTATTTTTCAGTTTTTGATGGACACAACATCGTTGTTTGTATATGGTGCTGAGGATCAAACCCGGGCCGCACGCATGCCAGGCAAGCGCGCTACCGCTTGAGCCACATCCCCAGCCCACTATCTAGTACCTTAACTTCACTAGTGCCTCTACTACCACATCTTTTATAGTAGTAGTACTAATAGCTGTCAGTCTAAATAAAGGCCAGTTGACCTTTTATTTCCATGAGTATGAGTATGCTAAACTACACTGTTAGCTTAAAACTAAAAATATAAAATGAGATTCCCACAACAGAATATCTCATCTCTCCTAATACATTTAAGTCTGCATTCTCAAAGATCATTTTTGTTCCAAAATATGGAATATGCTAAAATTATAATGTCAGATTATCTCAGTTTTGAGTGTCTGTAAAATGTAATTAATTCTATTATCTTAAAATGATCTCTCAGTTTCCTCATGTTAGAGAATTAAAAAAAAAAAAATTCCCAGCTAAAATTAGCTGGCAAATAGGAGGGCATGTGTATTGGGACAATGCTTACAAGATTGTCATAATGAAATTTTTTGATAGACTACAAAACAAGAGAGATTGACATTAATTGTTTCTGTACATACCCTTTTTCTTTTCTCTGCCTGTATATCTTTTGCATTGGTTTTTCTGAATTGCATAGTTACTCAATAGCTTTTTACCTAATTATAAGTACCTGTTACAAGAGAGAGAAAGGTGGTTAAAATTGCATTATAGCTTTCATGTTTGGTTTTTAATTCCTGCTAACAAGAGCCTTATTGAGTAATCTGCTTTATCCAGTCTTTCCTATATTATGTCTCCATTCAGTGTTGCTAATTAGAATAAAAGTCATTTGTGGTCTTTTGTAATAGGTTAAAGAAACTTCCAACTAGAAGAAATTCAAAATATAAAAAATGCTTTTCCAAAGACTAGAGATCTTTAATTCTTGTCTGGTTAATTTGGGGCAGATTTACTAACTGATTAATTCAACAACTGCATCAGCTATGTTCCAGATACTGATGAAAATACTATACTTACTGGGCATGGTGGCACACATCTGTAATCCCAGTGACTCAGGAAGCTGAAGCAAGAGGATCACAAGTTCAAAGCCAGCCTCAGCAACTTAATGAAGTCCTAAGCAACTTAGCGAAACCCTGTCTCAAAATAAAATAAAATAAAAAAGGCTTAGGATGTGATTCAGTTAAGTTCTCTGGGTTCAGTCCCAGATACTAAAAAACAGAACAACAACAAAAAATAATACCAATAGTGACGGACAAACTCTTGTTTTACTGTTATGATCTTTGGATTGTCACAGGAGTATTTGTACCAGCTATATCACGTCTTCAGCCTCTAATTCAGGAATTTAAAATAAGACAACTGTTTAAATGAAATGTTAATTTTTTAAATTTTATTTTTATTTTTTGATACCAGAGATTGAACCTAGTGGCACTTAACCACTAAGCCACATCCCCAGCCCTTTTTAAATTTTTATTTTGAAACAGATGGTTAGGGCCTCACTGAGTTGCTGAGTCTGACCTTAAACTTGCTTCGATCCTCCTGCCTCGGCTTCCCAAGCCACTGGTATTATAGGCATGCACCACCATGCCCAGCTAATAATAATGTTCTTAATATGGTATTTAGGAATTCAAATTTTTTGAAATGCCTTTTGTCATATACACACACATTCATCATTTATGTTATTTTTTACATAACTATTTAAAAAGTAATAGCTTAGAGTCTTACAACATAATGATGTTAAATGTAATTCCCATGTTACTACAATGAAAATGGCTATAGAATATACAAAAAGAAATGAGAAGGGAACTAAAACATGACACTGAAAAATCAACTAAACACAAAAGACAATAATACAGGAGGAAGTAGGGACTAAAAAGCTATAAAGCATATATAAAACAAACAGGAAGACAGAAGTAAGTCCTTCCTTATCAGTAATTACTTTAAGTATAAATGTATTAAATTGTCCAATCAAAACTTAGAAATTGGCAGAAATTTGCTTTCTATAGGAGACTCAACTTTAGATCCAAAGACACAGACAGATTGAAATAAATGGGTGGAAGAAGATATTCCATGCAAATAAGAACCAGAAGAGATCAGGGTTGCAGAAAGACAAATACTGTGTGATTTCACCTGGATGAGGCACCTAAAGTAATCAGATTCACAGACAAAAATTAGAATGGAGGTTACCAAGGGCTGGGAGAGGGAGAATGGCAAATTATTGTTTTTTGTTTTCTTTAGTACTGGGGATTGAACCCAGGAGTGCTCAGCCACTGAGCCATATCCCCAGCTCTCATTCATTCATATATATATATATATATATATATATATATTTTTTTTTTTTTTTAAGAGACAGCATCTTACTGAGTTGCTTTAGGGCCTCTCTAAGTTGCTGAGGCTGGCTTTGAACTCACAGTCCTCCTACCTACTCCCAAGAAATTATTGTTTAATGTATAGGGTTTCTGTTTTGCAAAATGAAAGAGCTGGAAGATAGTGGTAATGGCTGCACATCAGTATGAATGTACTTAATGCCACTGAACAATACACTTCAAATGGTTAGTTAGCATGGAAAATTTATGTTACATACACTTTACTACAATAAAAAAGAAGGTGAGCCAGGCGCAGTGGCACATACCTGTAATCCCAGCCAATCTTAAGGCTGAGACGGGAGGATCTAGAGTTCAAAGCCAACCTCAGCAATGGTGAGGCACTAAGAAACTTAGTGAGACCCTGTGTCTAAATAAAACACAAAATAGGATTGGGGATGTGGCTCAGTGGTTGAGAGCTCCTGAGTTCAACCCCTAGTACCCCCACAAAAGATAAATAAATAAATAAAAAGAAGATAAGGGCTGGGGTTGTGGCTCAGTGGTAGAGCACTTGCCTAGCACATATGAGGCACTGGGTTTGATTCTCACCACCACATAAATAAATAAATAAAGCTATTTTGTCCATCTACAACTAAAAATATTTTTAAAAATAAAGAAGAAATAAATAGATAGATGGATAAATTTAAATAAAAATAAAGGTATTGTGTCCATCTGCAACTAAA